GAAACAAAAATCTAGACTTTTTTTTTTTTTCTTTCCATTTCTGCCAGGGTGACTCTAACCCTGGCCAAAAGATTCAAGAGAAAGGCCCCAAAGGCCATGCGAGTTTAGCTTCAAGAAGGCCACAGAGCCTTGCTCCAAACGCCACGCCGTGACACGTGACCTCCGAGCGTGAAGTCCTAAAACAAACCACAGACGAAACCATGGTGATCACCTCCCAGCTCTGGGGGTAGGTCACACGAGGGAACAGAGGCAAGCGGGGCCTGTAGATGTGTATGCTGTCATCCCACATCCAAGCCCTGGGTAACTGAAGAGCAACCAGTGACAACCCAGTGACGAGTAAGTCTGTAGTAAAAACTGTGCAAGCTCGTCCCGGGTATCCGCTCCGGCACGCCCTGGTCAGCCCCAGGGCAGCCTCCAGTCTTTGGCCTGCTGGTCAACCGGGCTGTGCTTGGGGGACTGTGCTTGGGGGACTGTGCTTGGGGGAGCCATGTCCCCATCAGTCCCACAGCACTGCTGCAATCTGCTCAAGGTCGGGACATGGAGACCTGCACTTGCAGGGAGCTCAGAAGGAAGACAGGGGGGCCACTGAATAAAGGAAGGAAATAACAAAGCTTTTAGTTTCTTCACGTGCAACGCTCATCTGCTCCCCTGGATGCCAAGCCTGCCATCCCTCCTGCAGGAGACCCCTTCCAAAGCTGCCGGCCAACGGAAGAAACCCCAAGCCATTCTCCACGTCCCCAGCCCGGCTGCCGTGGTGGGGCACCTCAATGCGGGGTTGCCTGAAGAGGTCACTGAGTACACGGTCTGCGTTCAGCAGTTTCATACACAACCACTTCAGAGAGGTGAGATTTCTCTCATTTTTAAAGCGACCACTTCAGAAGCACAAGCTCCCATCCCATTAAGGAGACTGAATTCCTCCCCGCCCGGAAGTTCTCCTCTGATTCCTCTAACTTCCGTGCTTCAAACTGTACTTCCAATCTGTTTCCTCTTACTCAGGCACAGAATCAAACGGAGGCCACCCAAGGTTGCTCTGACATCTCTTCCCCATCTCTCTCTTAATCCAGGAGACCATATTTCCACACGGTCCTCCAGCATCCCCTCAACACAGGGTGAAGGCCACCCTGGGAACGGCTCGCTGTCCATATGAACACCACCACCCATCACAGGGGGCTCATTTCTACCACTCCCCGCCAGTGTGTTGGGGAGTAAGGTTGAGATTTGATGTGTCTACACCTGGTCGTAAGGATTCATGGCTTTTCCAAAGCATCCCTCGTCTCCTTCTAAAGCAGACACGCTAGGGGTCTGTTATTGCCGAAGACTTCCCACTGTCTGGCGTCTGGCCATTTGTCCTCCCCTTGGGTCTGGCAATGGCCAGCACCCCTGAGCTCTCTATTCTTTTTTAAAGATGTTATTTATTTATTTGACAGAGAGAGAGCACAAGCAGGGGAAACAAGCAGAGGGAGAAGGAGACTCCTCGCAGAGCAGGGAGTCTGATGCAGGGCTCGATCCCAGGACCCCGGGATCATGACCTGAGCTGAAGGCAGACGCTTAACTGACTGAGCCACCCAGGCGCCCGCCCCTCTCTCTTTAAAGATGTTATTTATTTATTTGACAGAGAGAGAGCACAAGCAGGGGAAACAAGCAGAGGGAGAAGGAGACTCCCCGCAGAGCAGGGAGTCTGATGCAGGGCTGGATCCCAGGACCCCGGGATCATGACCTGAGCTGAAGGCAGACGCTTAACTGACTGAGCCACCCAGGCGCCCCCCGAGCTCTCTATTCTAATTCCTCTCTTGTGGTTTGCCCATCCCTGGGATCAATTTCTTTATTATTATTATTATTAATAAATCGCTCTTCCACATTAATAAATGTGCTCCAAACATTACCTGTTTCCTCTCTCCCTTCCCTCCAGCAAAGCCCCAACAGGTGCCCTCACCCCTTATCTCCTGTATCTCTAAAAGACCTGCTGTGCACAAATTGCTTCCTTTTTCTGCCCTTTCCTGTCCTTTTCACTGCATGTCTTTGCTGCTTTGTCTTCAGCAAAGTGTGTTTGTCTGTTTTCACGTGACCCTGGAAGCCCTTCCTTGAGAGGAGTTTCACTGCTGTTGCGAAAATGAGGAAACGGGCTCCGCGGTAAAAGTCTGGCCGGAGGCGCCCGGCTGGGAGCGGGGCTCGGATGGAGGTGGCCCTCGGGAGTCTGAGATGCAAGTCTTCTCTGCGCCGCCGCTTCCCCCTGCGCCACCCACCCTCTCCACCCCTTGACTACTTTGGTGCAGGGAGGGGCTGCTCATGGTTTCCTGTTGTCTGTCCTCCGAAGCAGCTCCCCTGCTCTTCTGGCTCCTTCCCGTGGAGCTGAGGACACGTAGCTTCAAACGTACCTCCCTGTCCTCCCGTGGGAGGACTCCCCTGCCTTTGTCCACCGTCTCCCATTGCTGGGTGCGCACCTAACTGGTTTAACGCTCACTTCAGTCAACCACCGACCACCACACACTAATGCTAGCTGGTTTCCTTCAAAAATCCCAAAGGATGGTTTCTAAAACTTTGTCCCCGGGAAGCACAAGTAAGGTCCTCGATGGCTCTTTGGACGTGGTCTTCCGGGATTCTCTGTCTCACTACCTGCTCCTCAAACCCCTCCCCTCTGGCGTGTTGACTGTCCTACGTGGTTTTGCATTTCTGGGCTTCCTGGCAGAGATCCATCGCCCCTTTGGCCCCCGGCCACTCCAAAGGAGTGCTGGCTCCCTGAAACGGCGTCTCGCGACCCACTTCAAATGGCTTTCCCCGCATAGCCCTTCGGCCGCGGCAACGGCTCTTTACAAACCCAGCAAAGAGGTTTCTCGGGTGTTTTAAATTTTACAATTCTGGAATTCATTTGGCACAAACTCCATCCTACAAGGAGAAGTGGAATGCAAATCCTGTCGCATGCAGTTGTGAGGGAGCACCGGCGGGAGGCTGCTGGGAGTCATGGGCCGGCCCCCGGCTCCATGCCCACCTGCCCTGGCCGCGTTGGCACCTAGAGCTCAAGCCTCAGCCAAGAGACCCAGCCTGGGAAGCAGGCAGGAGCGCCCACCAGGGGCCTGGCGACCTTGTCCCAGCAGGAACTTCCAGCCCCTGGCAGCTGACAGGGGGCGGTGTATCTAGAATACTGTGAAGGCATCTGCAGGGAACGTGTATTGACCTCTACCAAGTGCACTGCGTGCTGTCCTCTGCTCTCCAGGAATCAGGCAACTTTCAGTTCTCTAAAGGACACCCATCACAACCAGGGCTCACGGGCTGCAGGGCAGCTCTGGGGATTTCAGGGAGCACTCCCTGGTTTCCCCTGCAATGACCCCAGAGTCCTAACGCTGATGTCTGGGCTCTCGGATCACTTGAATGCTCAGTGGCTACACATCCACGTAATTTCTTCTGAGCCCCTCCCCCCTGCCCGTGTCCCAGGTGGGTCAGAGAACAGTACCCGCCTCACCGGTTGCTCCAAGGACAGACAAAGGAGACAAAGCAGGGTTGCCCTGACATTAGCCATTCGCGTGCCACCTTTGCAAACCCTTATCATATATGTGCACCCTCACTGGCTTAATAGTTTTACTGCAATTTGACTTTCTACTTCACGTAAACGTGTCTTGAATGGAAGCGTTGTAGTAGCCTGGTATATGATAGACCACTATCACTCGCAACAAACGCAGGCAATCTTAAAAATAAATGCATCGATGACAAACAAGTATGCTCTCCTGTGTCCCAACTCTGGGAACCCCCGAAATGATGCACATAGAGCAGAGCGGAAAATCCAGAAATGCTTTGCTTCCCACCCACTCTCCCACATCCAGGAGCCATGCTCTAAGAGGGGAAAATAAGTCATAAAGGTACTTGTTTTCTTGGTTCATTTGCATCAAATGGCTTTAGCCACTATCCTTGTCTGTTGGTAGAATTCACTGCATAGCTATTTTTTAAAGAACCCTTACACCCAAAGTCTCATTGGTTTCTAAGACACATGAAAACACACAAAACACATTTCTTAGTTACTATATGAGGATGTCCTGTAGAGAGATAGTTATGATGGTTTTCATAACCCTGAGAACTTTACACATGTTGCCCTCCTTAGCTGCGCAGTCGCCCCTCATGGGATCCATCCCACCTCGTGTGACCTGCTCACCCTTCGTGATATTCTTTTGTGCACATAGGTGAATCTCAATATCACAGTTTTTATTTTTACTTTTAAAAAAAGAAAGAGAGAATAGGTATTCTAAGGAATTGCTGACTCATTATCTCATGAGAACATGGTATAAAGGTGTGAAAACCAGTCTTTGAGTTGGAAATCGAGTCTCACGTTGACTCTGTATGTGACCTCGGTTATTTCGCTGACTTCTTGGGGCCTCCGTAATAAAGAAGGGAGACCAGGTTTTGCAAACACGACCTGCGCTGTGCACGTTAACACCAGCGAGAGACTGCAGAAACTTACATACCTACCTCTTTATGGAAAAGGTGTGCGAGAAATGGCATTTTCGACATTTAACCGTTTCTCTCTCTCGAATTTTGTATTTGGAGCTGCATTTGGCATTCGAGAAACACAGCTGAGAGGGACAACATAACATGGACAGATTTGGCGTCTTCTAAACCAAAGCGCAAACTAACTCGCCCTACTGTCACAGCACGTCAAATGTGTAATTTTCACTACCTACCATCCATAAAATCAGATGTTCCCGAAGCACCCAGAGGATAGGAAACGGGCTAGGGACGTGCCCCCAAGGCGGGGAGCTCTTCCCCCCTGCCACGTGGTCCCCGTGTGGGGGTGTGACAGCCTCCGTGACTTGGGTCTATCCTCCTGCACACACCAGGGCCCCTCCCGCTGATCTTTATCCCGCATCTTCTTAACACGGCCGTTGAAGGGAAACAGGAGGTACAATGATCCCACCGCCCAACCACTGACTTTGGAAGAATATGGAGGAACCGAGGTGTTACGGGAACAGAGCGTGCGAAAGCCCGCCAACAGGACACACGGACGGCCGACTCACCCACTCCTCTGTCACTCTTGGAGCTCTGCTGTCCGCCAGACGTGGTGGAAAGGTCTTCGGGGACCGGCATGGGCTCATCCCCATCATCCGGAGTGTCGCTCACTGGAGGGCTTTCCTTCCCTGAGGAGACAAGCAGCAGCTTGAGTTCCTGGGGCTGTGGTCGCCGCCGAGGGTGGAGGTCACTGCAGCGTGGCCAGCAGCGATGCTGCACACGTACGTATGTATTTACATGTTACGGGTAATACGCGGGGACCTATTTTACCAAACTGAACGGTGGTCGTCAGACCTTCTCATGGTCACTTTTCCACGCCAGTGACCAAACTCCCACAACTTTGTTTATGACATCTGTGTGATGCCCCATTGCATGGCTACACCAGGATTTATTTAAATCCTTTTTCTATTTTCAAATTTATATTGTTTCCAATCTCTTTCCCTATTAAGCAACACCGTGGCGAACAGCCTAGCAGCGAGCCTTTGCACGTGTTCTTAGTAAGTGTTCCAGAAGTTTCATGAGTGGGTCATTTTTTTTTTAAAGATTTTATTTATTTGTCAGAGAGAGAGCGAGCACACAAGCAGGGGGAGAAGCAGACTCCCCGCCGAGCAGGGAGCCCGATGCGGGACTCGATCTCAGGACCCTGAGATCATGACCTGAGCCGAAGGCAGACGCTTAACCAGCTGAGCCACCCAGGCGTCCCAGGCATCTGCGTTTGTAAGGCTTGCCACACATTATCCCATAATTTTTCCTGCAAGGTGGCTCCAGTTTACCCTCCTGTATGTGGGCTTCATTCCACCTTCAGATTAATTTGTTTTTAAGGTCACTGGACTGGTTATCTTGCTCAGAGCTATACATTCTAGGTCTGCTCCCTGGCTTTTAAAGAGCCAGGGAATATTCTCCCAGCAGCCTAGTTTGATCAAGCCGGGCGGGGTGACGGGGCGGGGAAGCAAGCTTGCAAAAGGCAGGCAGAGGGAATCCGAGGCCTCCTGGGGCCAGGATTCCTTCTGTGGAATTCTTATCTTTGAAACACAGAAATAGAATCCACACAACTCTGCAGTGGCTTATCCTTCACAAAGTGAGATTCACCAAATGAAACAGGGTTTTCCAGGATGGCTGTATCTACTGTGACCGCATCAGAATTCCATGCAGCCACAGGCTCCAGCAATGGGGAACCCACCCCTCCCCACCCCCACCCCACTCCCAGAAATCCAGCACTGGAAAGCCAGGACTGGTGGAAAACGTGGTTTTTTTTTTTTGTTTTTTTTTTTCCCTTTGAAACTGAAACACCTGTATCTCCCAACCTAAACATCGCCTAAAATTAGGTTAGGAGACACAAACCACATGCAGGGAACAGATGGTAAGGCCTGAAGCTGATGCAAACTAACCCATCAGAGCTGCTCTAGAAGATGGGCAGATGCTGGCCCTAAAGGAGGTTAACAGAAGTGGAAGGCGGGGATCGCACGCTTGCTGGCTGGGCTGGTGACCCGGCTTCCCAGGCGGAGGACATCCCCGCACAGACGAGCCCAGACTTTTGCAAAGACGGTGTTGAAGGACCTAGAAAACACGGCCAGGAAGACGGGAGTATGCTCACCTATTTGAATAACCATCTGGAAGAGCAATACCAACACTTCGGGGGATGGGCAAGACGAGCGCAAGCGTCCCTGGCAGCGGACGAGACCTCGCGGGCGTAGGTAGCTGAGTGGGCATCGCGCAGGCAGGCACCAAGACGATGCTTTGGGGGACAGCGGTGCATTCTCCAGGAAGGAGGCATCACAGTGGAGTATTCCCAGCTTAGCTGCGATCACCACAACTAGCAGGTTTTCAGAAAGAGCATTATTGGGTATATTTGGACAGCCAGGTCGATGTGTGTTAGGTCAGTGATATTTCCAGGGCTCTAAATCGTGAGGAGTAATAGTGGCTAAAAGTCTCAGTGTTCTCGTACACCGATTCCACAAATGTGGAAAAGTTGAACGGGAGAATGTAGGAGGTATATGGACCATCTGGTAACTGGGTTTTCCTTACCACTGCTTAGAGCAACAGTTCTCAAACTTAGAGGACTTCAGGGAGGTGGTCAGAGGAATCTTCTTCTTTTTTTTTTTGTTTTTGGAGGGGAGGAAGACTGACCTTACACAGAACTTCAATACATAAAACCAGAACTTCTGTGTCAAGTGGGGATATTACGGCGGGGAGGAGGGGAGACTGGAGACCCAGGTCACCTGCCTTCTCAAAGACCTCCTGAGGAACCCCCTTTCCCAGAACAGATGGTGGAGACCCCTGGATGAGCCAACTGACCCAAAGATTAGAGGTGTATAGAGCGAGGTGCTGTGCATGTGTGTCTTTGTGATCAACCAGCTGTCATTATTATGGGGTGGGCGTGGGAGGCTGAGCAACTAAGCTTTATGAGCATATTTTACTTTCCCTGTGACACTTCCCTCTGGAGTACTCCATGATCCTCCTGGGTAAAGAATCAGGACTTATCCAGTAAAGGAACGTGGTCTCTGCTCCACCGAGCCAAAGCGTGTCCAAGTAACTCTTGATTACTCTTTTGGTAATTTAACGGCTCTGTGTGTTAGGGAATAAGGCCAACCACACATTCTTGAGGATGCTTATATGATAGATGTGCTGCTAAGGGTTCTGTGGGTCTGGTCAGGCTCCTGCACTGAGTGAAACGCCAGGTCTCAGCACCCATCAGCCTGTGCCTCAGCCCTCCCACTGCTTCCTGCACGGGGGGGGGGGGGGGAAGAGGAACGAAGAAAGTGGTAGGGATGATGATTCCAAGACGCATGGGTCAGACTGATCAACGGGAGCTCTCTACGTGGGAGAAACGCGCAGGGAGAAGGGAGAGTAAACAGTCGTCCCTGGTGTATACAGTGGTGACCAGTAAAAAGTCAGACCTGGAGGAGAACAGAATGAGATATAGGGCACAGCCTTGGCTCACCTTCACTCGATGAGAGATTTTAAGAGGTGGCCTGATTTGCCTAAAGGCCCCCAAAGTCTGGGTGGTGCTGAGACATGACTCACTCCCATGAGCCCTTGTGCCCTGTGGCCCCAGATTCTCTCACTGTTGGAGATTTCTACAGTGAATATGTACCACTTTGTGAAAACCTTGTCAAGCAAAGATTGTTTGTGTGTTGATTTTAAAAATATTTGCCCCGTGAACCACTGAAAATGCAAAACCTTGGAAAGATCATAAAAGATACAAAAGTAAGGTTATTAAGTCAACACATCCCAAACATTAACACATGGTTGACCTGGGATATGGTTCGGACAGAAACATGGAGGAAGTCACCCTTTGAAGATGGTTTCCTCAACAGACAAATGAGGCTAAAAACCATGATTTTGGTCTAACTCACAGGGCTTCTGTGAAGATAAAATAATAACGTGTGTGAATGCTTATATGCTGAAGAAGCCTATGGGGCTGTTTCTAAAAGGCAGCAAACCACAAAAGCATGAGGTCTGCAGAGCACCAAGTGCCTGCATTTCCCCCAAGTTCATGTACAAAGACAGACAACATGTGGAGCTGTAGACAGCAAGAGATCAAGTACTTCTCACGGAATAATTTAGGAAGTGCAATGTAATTTCCCTTATTTAGAAAATTGAAAGAAACTTCTTAGCAATTTATATTTAATCTTACTCCTCGCCTTTGCTTCAAATAAAGCATTACCTATGAGAAGTGTTTGGGGCAAATTAGATGAGGAAATTATATAATGAGCTTATCAAAAGCAAGCAAGTTAATTTCTCAAGTAGATTATAATTCATCCGACAAAGTTCTGTGATTCCCCATCTCCCAAGTGCATGAGTGTTTTTATATGCAATTACCCAGGGGAACATAATTGCTGGGGGTAAAGAAAAAGTCAGAGTACAGACTCCAAACTCTAGAAGAGTGGGAAAACTCGTACTCAGTGACATGTCCGGCTCCCTGTGGGACTTCTGGTCCATTCCTGAAGTTTCCCAAATCTCAGCTCCCTGCAAATTGAAAATGGTGCCTGTATCTTCTTCACTGGGTGCTTATAAAGTTGAAAAGAGACAACACTCAGGGCAGTGTTTGGTAAATGTAAGCTTTCAATCAGTGTGATTTCCTAGGATGAACATTTCCACTCCTATTTCAATAGAGATGAGCTTCATTTGCCTAAGCAGACTATGTCTGTCTACAGAGCATACTTCTCGTTTCTATGTCCCAACAAACATTACAAATACCATTGAGAACACATCCAATACACCTTTAGGATCACAGGAGCCAGATGATCCTTCAATATCAACTGGCTCAAATCCCTCTTTTTGCAGATGACACTACAGTGGTCCTTCCAGGAGGCAGGAAACCTGTGTCAGGTCCCCATAATTGGGGACAAAGATGGGAGATGGATACTAGCCTCACAGTCCCCCATGAGCTGTGTCTTCCCTTAGAAACCAAAACAAAAAATAATACACAGAAATAAAAATATTTTGGAAAAACTGACAAAGAAGAAAGAGACAAACACACACACACACACACACACACACACACAGCTTTACCCAAAGAATGAATGAGATATGCCCTATAGGAAAAACCCCCAGAAAGAAAGAATCAGGTGATTTGAAAAAAAAAAAAGTCGGATATTATTTCTTTTTCAAGTGAATATTTCACAGATACTGATGGAACTGTTCATGCTGGGGCATTTTTGAACCCAGGAAAGTGGCAACTTCCTGGTTCAACGTAGAAAGTTTATTGTTTTCTTTCCTGTGGGCAGAACATGACAGTGAAGAATTTTCTGGGGAAAGAGGGGGATTGAGTAATATATTCCTCCACAGATCGAGAATGTCAACTTCTGTTTGACTAAATGTATGTCCTTATTCTTTTTATTAAAGATTTTATTTATTTATTTGAGAGAGAGAGAGAGAGCATGAGCAGGGGTGGGCAGAGGGAGAGGGAGAAGCAGACTCCCCGCCGAGCAGGGAGCCCGACACGGGGCTCGATCCCAGGACCCTGAGATCATGACCTGAGCCGAAGGCAGACGCTTAACCGACTGAGCCACCCGGGCGCCCCTGGACATCCTTATTCTGTAACTGTCACTACCCTCAATTTTCAGAAATGGAAAAGACAAAGGGATGTGATTAGGTTTTAGTTGTAGAAGCAGCAAGAAGTAGAAGAATCCTTCAAATCTTTATTTGAACGATGACAGGACCCTTCAGGTGCTCTGTCGCTGTTCAGAATGCTTCAAGTTACATCGACCAAGAACACTCTTAGTGTTTTGGAAGTAGCATTTCCTTTGCTAAGTATACACAAAGTAAATTTCAGATCGAGTCTTGAATCTTCTCAACCACAGAAGAGTTTCCTTTTTCAGGCAGTCTTGGGCCACGGGCCTCCCTTCATTCTTGCTCCCCGCAACCCCCACTTCCAAAAGCCAGTGTCCAGGAAAATGGAGTGTTTAGCCTCATGTTAAGGGCAAGAAGACTATGAGGGAAAAAAGGAGGCTTTTGTTCTGCTGGTGAACAAGATAGGAGGTGGGGACACAGACTTGCTCATAAGAAACATTCTGGAGATGCCTGCCTGGGCCAGGGGGCTTTCAGCTCTGGCTCTGGGACAGGAGAGGACAGTTGGACAGACGCTTCTTGCAAGTGTCACCTCAGAAACTCCTCAAGAGACAGCAAAAACAATGAAAGGGTTTCTTGGCATTTGGAAATTGTTGACATCCTGTGTTTTTGAACTGCTAATCCCCTCTAGCGGAGGCCTGCAACCCTGGCAGGGGAGGGGGGCGCTAACCCAGGGAGAGGCACACACCTCCTCCCTGCCTCCTTCTCCTCCCTGCAGGCCTGTTGCCCAACAGCCACCAGACCTCCCCCCCTAGGCCAGTGAGAGGCTTCAAAGAGCCAATCTCTTTTTTTTGTTTTCATTGAAATCATATTTTGTTGTTGGTGTATTTCCAGTTCAGGGTTCAGAAGAATGTGCTCAAGGGAAACCAATGCAAATAGAACTTAAAGACAGTAGATACTAGATGTAAAGCGAAAGGCCCCTTGTCCTCCACAGCCCATCCCTCCCTCCCATCACCAAACTCCCCAGGGGAAGTCTAGGTTAGTAAATCTCTCTCCAGAGTCTTCTTCAGCACGCGTGCAAGCATGTAGGAAGTGTCTGTGTGCACATGTGTGTGTGTGCATGTGCACGTGTGTGTGTGCGACGCATGTTCATCTTACAGAACAGATCACACTTTGCACACCCTCCCGGACACCGCCTGCACATTGGCGTAGGTCTTGGACGTGTTCCGCTATGAAGGTTTTCACGCCACCCTTCTTCGGAAGACGGGATGAACAAGGGAAATGCCCCGGTTTTCAGACATTAGCGTCAATCCTGTGGTGAGCATCTGCTCGAACGCTCTGCGCGCTTGTGGGCGCGGCTCTAGGGCGAACTCCTTCGTTGTAGCCCAGAGAGTTCAAGTCCACACTTGCCGCATGCCCGGAGTAGCTGGCCCAGGGGAGGCGGGAGACATCTGGGATTGTGGCAAGAACTTGAATCTCCTCCCCTGCACGCTCGCCAGTGAGTGAGCGGCCACACGTGTGGCCCCAGTCTCTGTCGTGAGGACTGACTTAGACCGGGGCGCAGAATTCAATAAAAACTTAGAAACAGGTGGGGGGGAGGTCAGCCAGGCCCAGATGACCAGGCCAGGCCATTCTCCAACAGACGCCCACCCGGGATCGGCCAGGAGCCTGGGAGGCTCTAAAAGGTAAAATAATGAAAATCCACAGGCCACAGAGGTTGCTCCTGCAGCTGGACACCTCTGGGTACGGGGCCAGACGGAAGGTGGGCTTCCCACACTTAGGAACACAGGAGCCATGCTGGCTTGGCTGGACGGGCTCAGCCCCACCTAGTGGGACACTCTGTGGCCCGCCCTTAGGCCTCATGTCACATCACCCACGGCTCCACTTCCTGGGTCTCCCAAAATGACAAGAGCCATGTCCAATACGGCTTGAAAAAAAAATGTACGTGGGTGGGGAGCTTACCAGATATTCTGACTTGCGCCTCAAAACCATGCTTTTCAATTTCTTTCTCCCGCTCTGCCTCCCTCGCTCTTCTTCCCTCTGTCTCCCTCTTAAACACCACCATTGGCAACTGTTTGGGGTCCAGAGCAGGTCCATCAGTCATTTCCCCCCCCCAAGAGTATCCACATTTATTGGACCTCTTCCAGGGTGCTCTCGGATTTCCCAGCAAAACCCATTTTATGCTTGGAGATTTTTCTGCTCAGGTTCTCAACCTGGAATGAGCTCTAAGAGTTGCCATAAAACATTGATACGAATTCCATCTTGGTCTTCCCTTTTGCAGGACAGCCTCTCTTCCTCCCTCGGGAACACAGCGAGCGCCATGGCTCCTGGCACCCCAGGGAGGGCTCTTCACAGGGCCCCCCATACAGGTACCCCACAAGGGTCTCACCTGAAACTCGGGACATGTCTTGACCCTCATCAGCGTCCATTGTCCTCAGGTTATCTGAGAAAGAGAGGAACGGATTTTAGTTTAAAGCAAATTACTAATAAGATCTGAGAGAGAGAAAGAGAGAGAAAGAAAGAGAGAGAGAGAGACGTTCTATGTATTTAACGGCAAGGTTATCTACCAAGAATAATGCATTTTCCTCCTCACATACTTGCTGGAGTATCAGACTGGCACAGACCTTGATCCTTTTAAAAACAGCATTACAAAGATTTATAAAAATATCATTACAAGCACAGGAGGACCAAATTTGTTATTTATTGTTAATTTCCTACTGCATAATAACCCAAAATGCAAACTGACTGCAACAAAATTAAGCAGAAAATTAAATGGCCCTGGGTCATTGTAGGCACAGAATTCATTCTCTTGGCTGATCCATAGTTATGTTCTTTCTAATTTACTGAGCATGCATCGATGAACCTTGAGTCAGCTTGGTGACACACATACAATCAGCAATCAAAAAACGAAGCAATTTGCTGAAGAATGTCTCATTTACCCAGGCAGGGCTGCATATGTGAGCAGCTCTCGCACTCCCTCCATCAATAATGAATACACCTCCAGCCTGGCATATGGGCAACATGGGTGCTTCCGTCTTTGTCCCCCACTCTCTCAGGGACCCTGCCTCAGACGTCGCTAGTGCACTCACGCAGGGAGAAGGGAAGCTCACGACGGCAGCAAAGCGAGGCCGGGAGAGCACCCAAACCTTCCTGTTTGCTGACACATGGCTTGGCTCCTCACACTGGCTTAAAAACAGAAAGCCCACTGGGAAGAGCCACCCTTGGTGGTGACAGCGAATGTCCTGCCCCGCGCGGGACCAGCCACCGCACGGTGGGGGCACTCGGGGTCCTGGCCTGGCCTCAGAGGTCGTGGGTGCCCTAGAGGATGACCTCTGGGAGCCCTGTGGACAGGGAAATGTGTGGCCTCAGCAGCAGGTGACCTCCACAAAATCTGCTCCTTTATGCTCTGCTGGACAACCTGCAAGACAGACCTTCTCTAAGCAACACACTGAGTCCATCTGTCGAATCGAACTCAGGTCACCTCTGTTTTGGGGGTTGGGGGGAGGTGCACCTGTCTCTCTGGTTCAGGTGTGTGGATCTGAGCTGTGAGGCCAGTTTGCAGCAGACCTGGCCACGGGTGAGGGGGTGTTCAGGGGACCGAACTACGCAGGCAGGGGCGAATACATGTGTATACATAATAGCCTTTACGGTGCCTGTGGACTCTGTATCTTCAATTTCTGGAGTATCAGTACTAGTCACAAAGAAGACACGGATGACTGTCACTTCTTCTGGATGGAGAGGGGTTTTCTTCTATTTCTGAAAGCCACTGAGCAGGTCTGAAGTGTGACCTGAATTTTCCAGGCTGCTGTGCGGTGCAGGTCTATGGCTGCTGACCACAGAAGGGAAAAAGGCCCGTGGCCCCACCTGTGTGTCTGCCCCGAGACTGAGCGTCCACAAGGTGGCCGAAGCCGAACAAAGCAGCCCCGGGAGCCAGCTCGAAACTGGCTGTATGCCCAACGTCTCATAGACCCCCATGTACAAAAGGCAAAAAAATCCATGAGTCGTAATTTGGGCGCCTGGGTGGCTCAGTTGGTTAAGCGACTGCCTTCGGCTCAGGTCATGATCCTGGAGTCCCGGGATCGAGTCCCGCATCGGGCTCCCTGC